TTCCGTCCACCAACCACAACAGAGCAAGCAAGGAACCACAGCCTTCACATACTGGTAATCGTAATCGCGACTCTCAATCTGTCGCTTCTTGTAATCATCAGTTCGCTTCAGAATAGGTCGGCTCCATTCTCCCAGTAGCCTCTCGGCCATTCGCTTGATGCTTGGCTCCGGCTTCTTGCTGCGCGTGTAAAACAGTACAACCTTTCCGATTCCGCTGCTGAGAAGAGCTTCCTTTTCCACATTGAGTTTGGTCATGGCAGTGAACAGGTCCCGTTGGATGTTGTATGCCGGCAAGGATCCATCATTCAAGGGCTCCAGAAAGAACTTGACATGTTGTAAAAAGTTGGTGTCCGGGTCCAGGACCGCATGCTGCACGTTGTTTCGGTTCAGGATAGCGTTGACTTCAGGAAGAAGTTTCAGCTTATGGAGGGCTGGTTGGTTAGACTCCCGCGCCTCGTTGTCAGCCCGGCATGCTCTCTCCATCTTGACCTTGAGCTCGGCAAGTTGCTCATCAATCTCATCTTCCAAGTCCTATGGTACTTCGTCAGCTTAAACGCGTGCACAGCTTCCATGTAGACTTGTCTCTCACGATTTCATCCTTGCGCCGCCTTTTACTTGTTCCGCCCTTCTTGATAGCCGCATCCAAAGCTCGGTCGATGGCTCTCTTCCTGCGCTCTTCCGGGCTCAGCTCTTCTTCGTTTTCAGGCTGAGGAGTATCGGGCTTTGTCCGCCGTCTCTCGCCTTCGCCGGTTCGTCTTGTTCGTCGCGGTGCCTTTCCATCAACCTCCGATCCATCCTCCATCGCAACATCATCGTCACGATCCCGTCTCTTCTTCTCGCGACGGCCCTCTCGCGGCTTCTTGGGAGCATCTCCAGCAACGCGCTTTCTTTTGGTAGCCTTGAGCGTACGTGCAATATCTTCATCGATGTCTACTGGCCGGTCCTCGATGTTGGCCGTCTCTGGATCGTAGTCTTCAAACTCGTTTTCGTCGATTTCTGAGAGCGCGTCCGAGTCTCTGTCTGAACCGGCGGCCGCAACCTCGTCCTGGAACTCCTGCTCCTGTCCATCATCAACTGCATCGTTTGCAGGCAAATCGGCGGGCGATTCACGGTCAGACATGCTGAGGTGTAGATTGTGCGAAAAAGGAAGAATGCAATAGGCCGAAATCAACAGCGCAGGCACAGAGCGTGCGGCAGGCGAGCAGAATCAAACCACCGAGTTGGGATGCGAGTATTGCCAGCTATTTACCCACAAGTGTGTTAGATTAATAGATACAGAGAGTAGGGTTGGTCGATGTTGCAGAACTCGCATAGTCCTTCTGGCTCCCAACATATTCTGAATGAAGGAAGCCTGCAGCTCAGAATAGGCCCCGGTCTGCTGACATAATAATAGACCCACTCTTAGCACTCGCGCCACAGCAAGACCCACCCTGATTGTTTACTTTCGTCTAGTGGCTTGTAATATGGTTGCCGTTGACGATCCAGAACATCTCAAAAAGAGGCCAACATCCACGGCTTCTCCATTGCTCGCAAGTTGGTCCAAGATCGCGCCCTGATAGCTCAAACCCGTCTGCTTGCTTCAATTCCTCAAAAATGGAAGCCAGATCCTATGAGGGTCCTATGGACTGGGAGTACCAGGACAAGGGCCCTCTAGACCCAACTAGCCCTTTTGCACAAGCTGCAAAAAATATACAACGGAATAGTAAGTCCTCGTGCCTCTATTCCTCTGTTCGCCTGGCTTATCAATATCCCGGTGATGGCCACAATTACCAACGCTATATATCTAACACAGCGGCTCAGATCTTGGATCACCATTCAAAACGGCCCGACCCCCGAATCCCTTTGCGCATCTTCAGTCGCCATCAAAATCTCAGTCCAACACCCCTCAAACTTCTCGATTTACGCCCCAACTGTCCTCAAGAAACACCGCTCCGCCATTCCGAAATCCCGCCTTTACGACTCCTAGAAAACCCGTCGATGAGGTTGTCTTTTCTGAAGCATCTGGTGCGGAGGACAGCCCAGCTGGCGCAGAGGTTTCAGACTATCCAAACGACACTCCAGAAGTAGACCGCAAAGCCGACATCTCCATGGGTGCAACTATTACGCCTCTCAAGATTGACAAGTCTTCCCGTTATGGGAAATCGAGTTCTAAGAAGCACATTTCGGGCAAGGGAGAGATTCGGGCGCATCGTGACCTCAACGTGACGATGCGGAAGCGAAAACGGCATAATTTGGACAAGGATGTCGGCAGCATTTCTCGGCACGGCGGATATGAAGGCGACTCCTGGAGCTCCGACTCGGATTCGGACGCTATTGGCGCTGCTCAGATGGCTAGGAGTCGCTCAAAGGGCAAGGGAAATCACGGGAAACAAAAGGGATACTTTGAGTCACTTTTCTATGCGCTCAACAAGTATCCCAATACTCCAGATCACATGCAACGATGGATGCAGCTCGGTGCCAACGTGTTTCTGGTTTCCGTCTTGACGTACGTGAGCTGGTCAGTTGTAAGCACCATTCGTACGGATATTTCCAACGCCAACATGGCCGCACACCAAAAGATAGTCAGCACTATGGACGCTTGTCGCCACGACTACACAATCAACGACTGTGCCAACAACAATAAACCAGCATTGAACAAACCGTGCAGCGAGTGGTATGAATGCATGATGCAAGATCCAGACGCCATTATGAGAGTCAAGGTCACCGCAAAGCAAGTGGCGGAGATTATTAACGAGTTTACTGAAACAATGCACCTAAAGGCATGGGTATGTGTGCTATTTGGACTGTGGTTGGGGATCAAAACTAACAAGTGAAAATTAGGGCGTCATTGTGGCTATCATAGTGATATGTTCTACGGTCAACTTGAGTGCATTCAGCCGGTCACACGGTCACAGAGAGATTCCTCCTACGCCATCTCAACCAGCAGGGGATGTGCAGGACCATGTCAGGTCTCCCGGCATCACACCCGGCTACATGCTTGTTCCGGTACAGACGCCCAGGATGAAGCGACAGGCATTGTTGGACGAGGGAACAGATACGGATAATTCCCCCATTAACATGAAACCTTACTACACACCGTCAGGACGAAGAAGCCCAAGCAAAGGAGATAGGCAATTAAGTCCAATAAAGTACGGGCGCAGTCCAAGCAAGGGATACTAGCGACGGGAAAGTCTTGTGTTGAAGGATGTGATAGAAGCCCATTGAGGATTGTAAGATACATTTAGGCATCAGTATTGGGTTTTTAGCGGATGGTGGTTGCGCTGGGCAAGGAAACGGAAAGACGGCAGGGCATAGCATTGGATTAGGGTCGAATCGCACATGACACTAAGAAACGCAGTTTGATTATGATTGTATTCACACAGGGTTGGGTTCTTTGAGCTTAGTTATATGACTGGAACATCGTCGGCTGGCCGAGAACCAGGAAGAGACTTTAATATTGGCAAGATGATGCTAAGTAGCCCAACTGCAGAACCGTCGAAGCGAGATCATGACTTTGTGAGTAGCTGCAGTGCTGGATGAGCCTTGGTCCATGAGGAAAGAGAGGTACATTTCGTCAATCTAAAAATCTGCTACGGAGTAGTAATACATGGCACACGGAGGTGGTTGGTTGACGGCATTACGTGTGTGCGGCGCCAACGCCTGCTTGCTCGATGGTGAAGTTCAAATGTCGTGATGGGCAGGACAGATGTGTGGGCCGTCAGCCACATCCACTTGCTCCGTAATTTTACGGACTGGCGGACTGGCGAACTGGCGACTGGTGACTGGCCGGGCTGTGGGCGCCGTCTGCTAGTACGGTCGCACTTTCCGATAGTGATTGTGTCCAGACTCCTGGGAAGACGCAACCGCTGGCTGGGCACTTGTTTGCGGGGCGGAGACCAAGCTTGAGAGCTTTTGGCATTTTACTGGTCCTCGTTTTTGCCGGCAAAACTAATCAGTCGTCTAGACTTGCAACGTCGTGTTTATTCGAGGCTGCGAATTTTTACTCCTTATCCTTGCCTTGATCATTTCCTTCTTCTTGTTTTGTCATGCCCTACGGCCTACGGGGTAACGGGATGGGGTACTCCCGTACTTGGTACACGAGCCTCAACCAGACGCCTTAGCCTCCCGGTCCGCGGTCGATGGTTGATGGTTGATGGCCGATGGGTCAATCGACGGGGCAAAGCCACAGAGAGCCGGGAGCCAAGAGCCTCAAAGTCGACTAGGGTAATGGTGTCCGGTCCCATACATAAATGGTCGGAGCAGGCCTGCTCCATAACCAACTACTACCTCTTTAGTCGGCCCTACCGAGTATTTTGGAGACCTTGTCGGAAATGTCGACAAGCTTCGATTCCCCATCATTCCCATCGAGCGCACCGTTGCGTTAATAGCCACTCGTTGCCACAGCATTGCATGCCCATTCCCGTTGAGCCGGCCCCACGTCGACACTCTTGGTTGCAGGACGCCCGCATCGTAACCCACCCACGTCACGCGCCCAGACCACTCGGCATCAAATTGACATTGAAAACGCGGCGCTGCATGCTCGCTCAAATCGCCGCTCAACTCACTACTGCCGTCGGCTGGTTTCCAATCCAAATAGCCACACCCTTGGAACATATGAATTCGAATCCCATGCCGTCTCTCAAGCCGAGTCGCTGACCATTGTCTTCATTCACGGCCGGCCAACGTCCTTCTTCCCCCGCACCATGTCCTTGTATGAATCTTATGTTCGAGGCGCTTCAACACCAAACTTCATATCTGGTTCTTTGAGGTGGTTTACAGGGCATAAAGCTGTGCTGTGCGGTTGACCCCAGGACGACTTTATCTACTACTTTTTCCTGCTAAAAACTGTTTATTGCCCTGTATCTCTCACCCGGCGACATCTTGGGTTTCTCGCAGCTTTGCAAACCGGCGAGCTTGCATCCAGCCCGGCATCGCTGCTCGGCTCAGACCTTGTTCGGTGCTGAACACAGGGACATAGCATCTGACAGTCGACCTCCTACGTTTATATTCTCGGCCAAAATATGGATAGAGACAGCAGCAGCCATACCCCATCGGTTCCGAGCCAACCCAGTTCTGGAAGCACGCCTCAGGGAACCACCGGTACACAGTCTTCCCATTCACAGAACCACCATACGCCCGTTGCGTCGTCCTCATCTTCCGCAAAGCCACAATCTGGCAACGCGCAGAATTCGAAACGTAGGAGGGGCCTTGGCGTGGTCACTCCCAATGCCTGTACAGAATGTCGCAAAAAGAGAGCAAAGGTGTGTGTATTTCGTGCGCCTCTCGCGTTCAAGCTTCCGCCTTTTTATTTGTGCAAATTGCTTCGTATGCTGTGCTGATATTTCTGTTCTCGCCTTACAGTGCGACGGCCAGAGGCCCTGTGGGCGCTGCAAGGCTCAAAAGGATGTCGACTGTGTATACGAAATTCCTGTTCGCCAATCCAAAGAAAATCTTCGAACGGAGATTGAGAGCCTCCGCGTTCGCCAGCGGTCCAGCGATCAAGTGTTTGCCGCTCTGGTCCGACCAGACCTATGGGAGGAAGTACTGCGGCGGCTCCGCGGGGGCCAGTCCGTAGAAAATATATCCGACTGGCTAGGCACTGCATTGTCTTCCGATATAAGTGATGATCATGTCTTGGGCCCAGCTTCAGGCTCCGGGTTTGGGGCCGGCCCTTCCCGCAGCATAGGCCAGCTGTCTCTGGGAGTCGATACCGGCGCAACTCAGCAACCGGGTATACGAGGCGACGTGCAGCAGAACAGTCCGTGGACAATAAGCCAAGCAGGCTCGACGAGAAGCAACTCATACACGGATGCGATGAATTGGACCTCAGATAATGCGCCCGGGCCCCCGCAGACGAGAGTAGGCTCATGGGCGGAGCCGATGCCGCCAGACCACATGTCCGACTCTGCTATGCCTAGATACAGGGGCCTTGAACAAATTCTGTCATTCATGGATGAGTCGGAAGTCAAAACACCTCCTCAATCTTGGACAAGCATCACTGGCGACATAAATCTAGTCCAGCACCTCCTCGCCTTGTACTTTTGCTGGGAATATCCCACGTTCGCCTCACTAAGCAAAGAACACTTTCTACAAGACTTTCAGGATGGACGCCAGAGATACTGCTCCCCGATTCTCATCAACGCTCTCCTGGCTCTGGGGTGTCGATTCTCAACACATCCCATGACGCGGGCGAACCCCAATGATCCCTATTCGTCAGGTGACCACTTCTTTAAAGAATCCCAAAGACTATTCAACCAGGAGACAGATCACCATTCCTTGACTACCATTCAGGCCCTAGGCATCATGTCCATTCGAGAGGCGAGCTGCGGTCGGGATTCAGAAAGTTGGTATTATGCTGGGCAAAGTATCCGACTGGCTGTGGAGATGGGACTGCACCGAATTCAGGACGGTTTGGATGAGGATGAGCTAGCCGTCCAAGCGGCAACATTTTGGGGGGCCTTTGCACTTGACCAGTAAGTAGTGCCTCGTGTTTTGAGCCTAGGTCTTTCGCCAGTGTTAATGGCTTAATAGTGCCTGGTCCCTAGCAACGGGGTCATTACCGCAATGTTCCTGCTTCCCACATCTGCCGCCCAAACCTGGCATTATAGGTAATATTGAGGCTTCGTTGTGGGTTCCATACACGGATGATGGTGCGTTTACCCCTGTTCACATGTAGTGATAACCCAAACATACATGGGAGGCAGCAAAGGTTTTGCTAACCCAATCGCACAGGAGCGCCGCTACAACGATCCTGCGAACAGCCATCTAATGTGCGGTCCGTGTACAAGTGCTTTTGTGAGCTCAGCGAGTTGGTACATCAGTCACTATACATTCTGCACTCGCCGGGGAAGCCATTAACAGCCAGGGAACTGTTGAAGATTTACACACAATATCTCAATTGGTATGACAGAATACCAGAAGTGTTGCGGCTAGGGCACAACTTTACCCCGGCCGTGTTGTTTGCCCAGTAAGTAGGCCTGTTTGTGACTGGTGGCTTTGGGATCTTGGATGCTGACTATGAGCCCAGCATGTACTATCACTTTGCGATACTTCTCCTATTCCGTCCCCTAATCAAGCTGCGCATCATTGGGTCAAAGATTCTCCCCAAGGATGTATGTTCCCAGGCAGCCGACGCCATTCAGGGCCTTCTCACGTCATACTCACAATTATACACGCTCCGTCGTACACCTTCCTTTGTGCCATATTTCGTTCTTACGGCCTCGATAATGCACCTCGCCATTGCTGCGTCAGCTGCAGTCGACGTCAACCCGGGCAAAGTCACACCTGCGGACATTAGGAAGGCAGTCAAGGTCGATTCCCGCGTGTCAGAAGTGCTCAAGAAAGGCATCGCCGATTTGACAGAAATGGCGCCATGTCACCATTTTGCAGAACAGGCACTCAACATTCTCCGGTATCTTGCCAAGAAGTGGAACATTGAGGTTGATTTCGACAACAGCAACCTGACGCCGGAGGATTACGACCGGCTGGTGCGGCCATATTCCAGCAGTTTAAACTTTTTCGCTCCCAACGTTGGCGTGGAGGACTTTATCTGTGATTGGGGCTCAGGCAATCGGCTGGTGGGAAGTGAGCAGGGCAGGCAAGTGGAAAAGGCGGCGGAGACTTTGCAGAACCCGTTGTTTTGGCCGTTCCCAATGCAAGGCCGGCCAATATTGCCAACCGGGAAGGAGCTGGAGCAGGCTGGGTTCGCCTTGTTGAATCCGGGCAAGGACTAAATAGGTTGGAGTTTATGGGCAGGTGCATTGTAAAGGGGTTTTGGGGTTTTTGGATTGTGCAGGTAAAGTCGATGGGTAAATTTGATACCAGGTTGAATGGGTCTAGAATCAATATTGAACAGACATGTACATGTTATTATGCCATGATCAGGCCTCAGCACCACGAAGCAATCTACGATGCTGTTTTAAGTGTGTGTGCGTTCCGCAAATGATTATATTATTATTTCTACTTGTACCTATTTTTTTTTTCTAAATTCCTTTTTTTTTTTGTTTTTCAATTCTCGAAACCGTCAGCGCGGTTCCGTCATGTGGCGTAGGGTAGGTAAACCAGACCAATCTCTTTGGCTGCCCAACAGCTCGTGGGGCTTCCTCTGCCATACAATTCTCTTAGGTCAGCGTCTCCACGAGCTATCGGGCAGCTAAAGAGATGATGGTGGGAGCTGGGCGCCACAGCCGGCCACCCACTACGTACTCCGTACCAGACTACTTACCTCGGCTCAGGTCCCATCGGCGTCGAGGCCAATTGCAATGCCGAGCTCCAGCTATGCCAACTTCCCCTGCCGTCATCACCACCACCACTCTTTGGGCACACACCAAAAACCCGTCGCGTGCCGTCAACCCTTCCTTGCCTCGCACCCCTCGCCCGCGAGCGAAACTGACGCCGACGGCATTCCGCAACCCCAAGCAAAAGCAGCATGCCTGCTCCCGCCGCGCCCGCGGCCCAGAGACCGCGGCCCAGCGTCGGCCAGATCCTCTCGATGCCGCCGCAGTGGCTGGCCATGTACGACGACTTCATCACAAAGAATGCCGGACAAGTGTCGCAGATTGAGAGCGCCCTGCGGAGCCTGACGTACATTATCCCCGGTACGTTGATTCCGAGTGTCTCCTTTTTTTCCCGCCAAAAAAAAAAGATACAAGAGGCGTGCTAACCGCGGCCAGGCCGCTTCCGCGATGCCGAAATCGCCTCCGAATCCATACACTCGTTCGTGCAGCTGCTCTCGCTGTACCACGACAGCCTGCTCTCGCGGGCGGTCTCGCGGCTGCCCGCGGCGCCGGTGCGGACGGCGCACGCCCGCTACACGCGCTTCTGGTCGCAGAGGAGCAGGGCGTACCGCCGCATCGCCATGGTGCTCCAGATGGTGATTTACACGGAGCTCCTGTGCGAGATGGCGGCCAAGAGGAGGGGCGGCGAGCGCGCCCGGTGGAGGGTCGTGGTGCTGATTGAGGGCGTCAAGGCCGCGTGCAGGCTGCTGCTGCTGCGGGTGACGCGGTCGCGGCCGCTGGTGACGCCCGTCCTGCCGGAGAGGGAGGCCATTCCCGACAACAACGACAACGAGGAAGAGGAGGAGGAGGAGGAGGAGGGCGGACTGCTGCTGGAGGGCACGTCGCCGCACAGCCTGTCGGCCATGGACGCGAAGCCCCCCCACGAGCGGGAGTGGACGATGCCCCGGACGGGGATGAGCCTGCCGTCGCTCCCGGACCCGGGCGACATCAGCTCGTACCTGCTGGGCCGGGTGCTCACGGCCGACGACATCAAGCCGGCCAACAAGCTGCTCAACCGGCTGCAGGGCGCGTCGCGGGCCGCCGAGGTGCTGCACATCCTGGCGCCGCTCGTCTACGCCGTCGCCCTCGCGCGCAGCAGGGACCGCAAGTCGTGGACGCCGTGGGTGGTTGGGCTGGCGGTCGACTGCGCCGCGCGCCAGCTCCGCGACGCGGGCCTGCGCACGACGGCGCTCGAGAGGGACGAGTGGCAGCGCCGCGGCTGGGCCATGGCCTGGTGGACGATGAGGGGCGCCTTTTACGACAATGTCACCGGCGGCGTCGTCGGCGCCGTCACCAGGCGCATGCCCGGCTTTGTCGCCGGCATCTTGGAGGACTACGAGTACCTGTGGGAGAACTACTACTTTAGCACCAGTGCGTAGGGCTTGCCCGACCTGCCGTGGTGTACTCTTCCGTCTCCCGTTTTTTTAAATCTTCTTTCAAGTATCGGCGCGGGGTGGAAGTAGAGGGCGGCCGGGCGATGGAAGTGCTCCCGTGTAGGTTTACGGCAGGGAGCGGAGACGGGAATTGCTTGGCCACATGTCACGATGATAGTACGAGGTTTTTGCCATCTGACTCGGGGAGGCCACATGTCACGATGACAGTACGAGGTTTTTGCTATCTGACTCGGGGAGAGGAACCAAACACACAATGTTGCTGTGCCCTTTGCTACTGGCGCCCCATCCCACCGGGGAAACATGGACCGATGTTGTGGTTGGCCCGCCAGACGACGATACTCACAGGTTGTGGTGGAAAATTCCCACGCGGCAGCTGATTCCTGTCGAGCTGGATGGATTTTTCTCGTCCGCCCGACTATCACTTATACAATTCCCATCTCGGCTCTAGGACAAGGCCGTCTCGCGCGCCGTGGGCGATACACCCGCTTTACATACAATGGGGGAGTCGGACACGATCGATCGATGGAGCAGCTTGCGTGGCGCGTATGTCGGGTGCTGAGGCGAGCTGGCTGTGCCTGGCTGTGCCTGGCTGCGGACAAGACACGGACAAGACGTGGACAAGACGCGGACAAGACGTGGACAAGACGTGTACTATTTCCATTTGTCTATGTACATAGCAACACATGAGCGATTTGGGCAAGAACCCGTCAACGAGAAAACCACCATCGGGTGTCGATTCAGGATGCGACGTGTCGCCCACTGCGTGTTCTAGAACATGGAGCGCATTGCAGGGAAGAAGACGGGAGCGGGCGTGTAATTACTCGCGCCGTTCCGGCTTTCGAGGCTGGCTTTGCGGATTATTCATGGCTCGTGCCAAGTCTGCGTGTGAAGAGGAAGAACAGTTCACGGCGGGGGGATGGCATGAACCTGGCGAGCGAACCATGGATTAGAACGGGTTTTTATAGACATGGGATTCTACGTATTTGTGTATGTAGATGGGGTTTGACCGGGTTTGTTTGGCCGATTTCCTTTTTTTTTTTTTTTTTTTTTCAAAGGATGTTACGTGACACTCGTGGGTTGCTGGGCTCTGCCGAGTCGATGCCAAGGGAAGCTTGTTCAATTTGTAGATGTTGGCTTGAGAGTTGGTTGCGTCTATCACGAGCCGACATGGGGTATGCTGCGAGTTGTGTGTTGTGCTCAATGGTTTTTCTTTTTTTTTTTTTTTTTTTTTTCAAAGGATGTTACGTGACACTCGTGGGTTGCTGGGCTCTGCCGAGTCGATGCCAAGGGAAGCTTGTTCAATTTGTAGATGTTGGCTTGAGAGTTGGTTGCGTCTATCACGAGCCGACATGGGGTATGCTGCGAGTTGTGTGTTGTGCTCAATGATGAATTAGAAACACAGTTTGCGAGGATAGGCGGGAGATATTGAAAGAAACGAGTCTAATTGGCACACAATGGCCAAACGAAGTAGGCGTATCTTCATGAAGTGGCCGCACAACTCGGATTACATGGGATGATGCCTTGTCGAGTCGAAGACGAGGGCTTCCGTGAAGGTGTCGAGGTAACTGAAGAGCTGGCGGCAATATGCGATTGAGCCTATGGCTGGCGCGCAACTTGATCCCACTTTCAGACCCAAAATGCCGCGTCTCTTTTCTCTCCCTTGAGGAAGAAGAGAGGGACAAAGGAAAGGGAGTTCAACGTCATTGGTTCCCCTGAGTCAGCTCAGCCTTAATTCTTTTTTTCTGTTTCCCATGCCGTCTTCACGCAGCGGGAGATGCACAAACCTGACATGGATGCCAATATCTTACTCTTCGTGCCACCGCATGCCCGCATGGGGCAAAAGTGCCTCTCTCTGATCCACAAACGTACGAGTCGTTGACTCCCAGGTACTCTGCCGCGGGCAGTTACTCCGTATAATTGTGCATGTTAAGGACATGGCCAACTTGGCGTGCCCTGCAGAATGACATCAGTTCAGAATCAATTGCATCAAACCCCAAGCCGAAACACACACAGCCACCATAATTGGTGCTGCAAGGTTCAGCGTCGGAGAAATCAAAGTAAAAATAACAACGAGATAGTCTGTGAAATACATACTAGCGTCAGATTTGACGGGGAACAGGAGAGGGGAAGTAAAAAAAAAAGATCAGCAGGGGATCTGGATATCGAGGGTGGCGGTGCTGTGCCGAAACAAGCTATTATCTAGGGTTGCATGTCGGAAACAGTGGCTGCAGGCGTGTAGAAATGATTTGCAGCCGGGGGCTTGTGATCTTCTCCGGCCAAGGCAATGCTTGCAGGCCTATCCAAGCAGCTGAATGGGATGCGATGTAAGGTTGCCTGTCGTTGATTTCCATCCTCGGCAAGCATCTATGCTCCGACACCCCAGTTCTCGTGGATCAATATGACGACGAATGATAACTCGGCGCACGCTCATGGTCAAGAGTCAGTGTGTGCATCGCAGGCCAGCCTTTGCTAGCGGGCTGGACCTTGACCATGACCTGGTCCCGTGTTTCACCCTCTGATTTAGTCCAAAGATGGACGAACTAGGGTCATGTCGCGTTGCGCCAGGTGGATAATCATCCAAAGGAGAGGGAGAGAGAGAGAGAGAGAGAGAGTGAGAGGCCAAGGCTTCGGCAGCCCGGCTGTTCCATGGATTCAAAAGAAGGAAAGAGAAAGCAAGGAAACGGAAGAATCTTCTGAGGGATATTCCCTGCATATCAGCGCTCGACACACGAGGAATATCCGCGAACCCGCAGCGTGAGCACAGACAACCAAGGCCCCAAGCATAACAAGTGAACCAAGTTTTTATCTTGTCTGCACACTCTCGGCCAACGGGCCGAGGCGTGCCGTAAGGAAGCCGGAGCAACATGGTAGAACTCGTCCGAGAGCCAAGAAAGAAAAGAAAAGCGAGCAAAGAGGTGGTGTGCTTGTGTCGCGTCTAAAAAAAGGCAAGACATGATGAGCATGCAAAACGTGAACCACCCAAGCTGAAAGGCGGACGAGGCGGCCGAGGCGGCCGAGGCGACGCGACCGTTACGCTGCGACGCGCACTCACTGACTTCTTGTTAGCCCCTCGACAAGGTGGCCGACGTCCCAGCCTTGACACGTCATTTTCAACCTGTGCAGCATGGCAAGATCCGGCAATGGTAATATAATCCAACCATGGACTTTGCACGCAGTGGCCGCGAGCGAGCAACGTCCCGGCACAAGGTCGGACGACTCGCCCATCAAACAATGAGGCCCAAAATGATATCGACTGTCACAATCGGCAAAAGACAAGGCACCCAGGCCAATAGGATAGGAATCCATACAACAAGGAGCCACTCGTGCAAGGGAGCGGGAACCCTCCTCTTGATGGCAAACCACAGCGAGCCGAGGGGCAGGACTCGGAAAAGAGCACAGTTGAGCCAAAGATCAATAGTTGCTCACAGCTCCTGCTAACCAATAGCATGTGCGGAAACCGGCCCGAGCGGGAAGTGGACCTGAGTTCCTTGTTGGATTGTCGGTTGTACAAGACGGGGTCGATGCGAACAGCCCAACAAGGGGGGTTCTGGGAAGGATTGTCTATTATCCGGCTGCTTGTTGGCCCTTCATCGGCCTTGATATCAACTGCTAGATTGCATCATGCTCTTGCTTGTCGCTTGATAGCCGGCGGGTTGGAAAGAAACTCTCTCTTGAGTGGAGGGATCAAAAGCCAAGGTGGCGCGCAGACAACTAACTGCCTTGCAGCAGAACGGACTGGGCGGTCCAGCCGCTGGGCCGACACAGACCACGATCAGGGTCGCAATCAAGTTGAAGGCTATTGTTGGTACTACTGACGTGAAGAGAACCCCCCTGATGACCGAAGCGGCTAACTGTCAAACCAAGCCTAGCCTTGAAGCGCTGCCGCTGATATCATTGCCATCAGTCGTGACGTTTGATGACGGCTGTTGTAGCCACGTCAAAAATCACACTCTCGGCAAATGACACCAGATGATGTCTGAGAGCTGATGGACTTGCACCTCATTTCTTCGGTGACGCCTGCCGTGAGCACATTTACTCATCTTGTGCAATGCATCTTTCAGCACATGTAAGCTATGTGTAAGGTGCCTTTTGAGTCAAGAATGGGGCTTGAGCCTATCTGGCAGCAGTGGGTGGGTGGCTACAAGGGACACGTAGAATTCTAGTCCTATACCTAAAAAAACAAGAGAAAACAAGGCTTAGAAAAAGTTAGCCATGAGATCAGACCTCGATAGTTGTTTCGTGATACGAGAAGAACAGGAAGTCGCAACTCACAACAAGGGACACCCATGTGGTCTTGATATTACGGACCAGAGGCTGATGTCAGGTCCTATGCAGACGGAGAACTGGCCGAAGTTTCGTTCACGCAGGGTGGTGTGGTGGGCGTGTCTTGTGCATCTGATAGCTATGGCCATTTGCTTCGGCCTCGTCTAGGCGAGCGTATGTACAGTTCCCATAACGGGTAGTAGTCCAGCGACATCGTACACAGTACTTGGAAACCCTACAAGGCCAACACCACGGGAAGCAAAGTAGCCTCGTGGCTTCAAGTGGATCGTGGTGCCTGCCGAACTCTGTGAACTAGTACACCCCCCAGCCACCAACGAAGGGATCCAAGTAGGGACCCGGCTATGGCGCGTATCACTGGGAGATTGATACGCGACTTACAAAGCGATTTAGTACGTTTACTGACATGGAGGTTAATTTGAAGATTGGCCAAGGCAAGCTGGGGCGAGAAAGTCACCTTGATAGGTAGAGCCTCGGCAGCTTGCCGGCACTGGTAACCTCCGAATGATTTACAGATTCGTTACACCTCGTATCGCGCAAATTGTTAGTTTTTAAACTTCGACCTAGTGGCTCCAGACTTACGTCCTACTTACGGTACTAGTGCAAGTAGATGGAACTTTGCAAGTCTCTAACTGTATTTGTTCATGTGTGTACATAGCCGCAGTCTGGTCGGGGAATAAAAAAAACAAAGTACAATAGCTTGT